TTTTTGCTGTGTTCTTGAAAAATTATAAACAGTATCGGTTTTGGGATGCGCAAAGATGAGAAAATCGCAAATAAAAAATCCAGGTCCGTATTTGAAAAAAGGAAGTTGAGGATGGCCGCCTAAAGACGAAACGTCGAATTTTAAATTTAGTAGCACCATTTTCTAAAGGAGAAAAAGTGACAATGATGAAGTGACATTTATTTTAAAATTGCTTTTCAAATAAGGCCGGGAAAAAATTAAAACAATTTTACAAAATTTTGGTTTTTTCCAAATATCTCCGGAAGTATTCGGAATCTTTCTAGTTTCAAAACGGTATTCTATTGGTCATAAAATTGCGAAACTTTGCCATAATTTAACCGACCCCGTATCTCTTACGGTTACCGAGATCCCAATGATGAGGCTTAAAGTTGGGCCACCCTGTATATCTGGAAAACGAAGCATTTCCGGACACATGTTTATTAAGAAAAAAGTTTTATTTTTACGAGATCTACCATCCCTAGAAGTTTGTAACAAACCTTTCGTGACACCCTGTATAATTGAGTGCTTGGTTAGGCTTAGCTTTGGGAATGGCAATGGCAAATTGTAATTTCTCAAGTTGTAAAGTTCTGGTCTAAAATAGTCTCCAAATTTTTTGAACATTAAACTGGCCACTTCCAAGATGAAAATACAGGGAACAGTCATTATCTGCTCCGGCTTGAAAAAAGGCCTACAGCTTTCCCGACGATTTACCCTACACAAATAACGCAGAGCTCATTTCTGACAGATAAACACTGATTCAACAGCTGCCTGTGTTGAAAAACCCCAGAATGCTATGCCATATCTGATGTGAGACTCTATAAGTGCATAATACGCTATTTTGGCTGTGTGAGAATTTTTTATTAAGGGTATCAATATGAGTGTCAAATTTAAGTCTTGAATCTATGTGCATACCAAGAAATTTTACAACAGTTCTACTATCTTCTACCAGCTTCTGGTCAAGTGTGATTTCATTAAGAGTGCATTTGAATGACAGTATATTAGTTTTAGATATGTTGAAACCAAGCGATTTGCGTCATACCATCCCTTGATTTTTTCCAAGTCTTTTTCAATAATCGTGTTAAGAATTGTCACGTCTTTGTGTCGCCAAAGTATGGTTGTATCTTGTATCGTCTGCAAAAACTACAAAAGCTCTCAGAATTGACAGTGCTGCCAAGTCGTTAATGTAAATTAAAAAGAGAACCGGACCAAGAACTGACTCTTGAGGAACTCCATGGGTTAAATTTAGCGTCTTTGAATTATCCTTACCATGAATTCTTATTAGCTGGGATCTATCCGAAGGGTATGCTCTAAACCAGTTCAACTCCATTCCCCTGACTCCGTTGTGGCTCATTTTCCGCAGCAGTATTTCGTGATTAACACAGTCAAAAGCTTTTGAAAAGGCATCATTGCACCCCTTTGATTCCTGAAATCCAAACTGGTCCGGTCTCAGAAGATTATGGGCCTTTAGGTAACTCACCAGTCTTACTTTCACTATATTTTCTATAATTTTCGATAGCCTAGTCAGTAAAGATATTGGACGGGACGCAGATGGATCTTGACTGTAGCATTTTTGTAATTATAAATTTTTGCGGGGTTTATTAAAAAATATGGATTACGACGAGTTGATAACATTAATTTTATTAGAAGAAGAGGAAGATGAAGAAGAATAATACTAACCTTCTTTTTTTAATTCTTTAGCGACCTTTTTCCAACAATTTTCTTTAATAACAAAATTTTTGTAATTTTTGTCCCAAATTGGTTGCATTTGAAACTGTACAAACCAGTGCAGCGGCTGGAGACGCAGCTGCTAGCCGCCACAGCCAGCCGCGTCACCGAAATCGCACCTTAATGGGTTTGTTTGTTTATTTGCACCAAAGTTACACCAAGCTGCACCAGGTGTAGCAAGAAATCAGTCTGTCTCTGTCAGACTAACAAAGATATAGGGATTAAAATACATTTGGAGTAGAAAGTGCCATATTCAATTCAATTCAAAATAGTTTATTTCAAGATTCAAAATTCAAAAAAATTCACAATAGACTTACGACTAAACTCTAAGAAATAAACAAGGACACTGAAGCAAAGGAATTTCGCTTGTTAGTTGGTTATTTATATATATATATGTTATATTGGTGCAAATAAACAAACAAAGCTATTGGCGGCCACTTTTTTGCAACTTGCCATTGTCAGAATCTACGGGACTTTTAGTATGTCATCTAGGGCCACATTATCTGTATGTTACCACTCATAAACATTTGTATATAATTTTTTCAGAAGTTGGACCTAAATTCCGATAACTTGACTACACTAATATTATCTTCTACCTTTCTTGTTTATAACTTTGAGTATATTGTTCTGAACAGTGTTTAACTGTTTTAGAGAATTCTGATATAGACCACCCCACACAACTATACCATAACGTATTATTAGAGAGTTCTCGTGCCGTCCAAATTTCAAATACCGTAACGCTATCTGACAAGTATGACAGTTCTTACGGTATTAGCGTTAGCGGAGCCCGCTATCTAACGGAACTTAGCGGATGCCTTACCGTAACGCTATGTTATGTCAAAACTAGTTTACGTTTCATTTATGTCTGCAAAAACAGCAACTTCTATTAATTCCTCCATAAAAAACACCAAGGAAAAATTAATCAAGCTCAGGAATTTTCAGGAAAAATAAAAGTTGGAAAACAAGCAAAAAAAAGTTGGGTTAGATCACTCATCTCAGTCAAACTGTAAACAGAATAAGGGATTAGAAGATTTATGTGTCTTCGTGTCCGAGAACTATAAAATACCATGTTAAATACCGTATTGTTAGCGGTACCGTATTAGCGTAGCGTCTGAGACACGAGAACTTTCTATTGATTCAACAATGGCTTTATAAACTGAGGTTAAAAGTTGTTTGTTTAAAATTTCTCTTAGCACATAAAATTTGTGAATTAATTTCCTTAAATTATTTGTAAGGTATAGAACATGATGATTCCATTTCAAATGTTTGTCGATAACAATGCCAAGATATTTTGTGTATGATTTTTCTTTAATATATTATCATCAAAATTGTCAATATGTATATAATTAAAATGAGGACGATCGGCTTCAGTAGGAGAGAATGCTATATAGTTTGTTTTTTGAACGTTAAGCGTCAATTTAAAATTGTTAAGCCAGTCTTTTACCTTGGATAGCCCAGCCATAGTTTTTTCTTTTACATTGTGCCATGTTTTAGCTGATAATACTGCTGCTGTATCGTCTGCGTATGAAATCAGGGAGCCATTATCAATCAGTAGGTCCGTCAAAACGTTTATGAATGTGATAAAGAGTATTGGACCCAAAACGGTTCCTTGGGGTACTCCTATTTTAACCCTTAAAGGATCACTAATTGTGTCTCCAATCTTCAGATACTGTTTCCTTTGACTCAGGTAGCTCTCGAAGACACTCAGCACGGTGCCCCTAATACCATATCTAAACAGCACATCCAGGAGCAGGTTATGGGGCACCGTGTCAAATGCCTTCGCCAGGTCCAGAAACACTGCGATACACTTCTTACTCCTATCCAAGTTCTCTGTTATTTGTTTGGTAAGTTCATGGAGCGCATCAGAGGTCCCAGAACCTCTCAAAAATCCATACTGTCTCTTTGAAAGGATATGGTTTATTTGAAAAAAATTAAGCAGTCTGTCTTTAACACATTTCTCAAAAAATTTTGAGAAATTATTTATTACACTAATGGGTCCATAGTTACTTATGTTTGACTTGTCTCCTGATTTAAAAATTGGAGTCACAATTGAAATTTTAAATTGATCAGGAACTCTACCACTACTGAAAATCAAGTTAATTATTATGTACTAATAGGGTTTGGTTAAATATTCATGAGTTTATTAGCATCGATTTTGTCCATTCGGGCACTGTGGTTTTTTAGTTGACTTATATGTTTTATTATTTCGTTAGCATCTACAGGCTTCAGAAATAAAGAGTGCGAAATATCTGAATTTATTTTTTGTTCGCTTACTGGTTTAAAAAGGGGGTAGATATTGGTAAAAAGATGGTCAAAAAAGTTTCTAGAGAAAATGGTGACTTGAACGCTGCTTTGCTGCAATACCGTAATTCACCATTAAAACACATTGGATGTTGCTCATGAGTAGGATTTGCAAAACTAACGTGCCAATAAGTTCCGATTTGTTGCAACCACAACTATGTGAGAGTGTATCTGAAAAGTTGTTACGTAGGCAGGATATTTATAGGTTTTATTATGACAAAACTTGTGAACATTTAAAACCTTTGGACTTAAATGCTGACGTTACAATCTTTAATCATGTAAAAAATAAGTGGGAACCTGGTCAGGTTCTTCGAGTCATACTCAGCCTGAGACACCTAAAGTTGTTATTCCTATCAGTCTCAGTCTCCAGAAGTTAGTATGCACGGTCCAAAAGTTTTGGATACCTTTAATAAAACTAGATCAGGTCTGGTTCGATCCCTCTATCGACCTGGAGCTGCTGCCCCCTATAATAGTTTTGTTGGTAGGCACTCAGTTGATGAACCCTCGGGTCATGACATGTTATTTTGGCTTGTACATACTTAATAAAATAATGTTCTTTCCATTTTATGGCCTTATTTGATTAATCCTCAATCCGTTCGGAGCCCAACAATTATACAATAGCTATTCAGCTATACCTATTTCTTTAATATTAAAATTTAGACGTTGCTAAAAATGTATATTATTTTATTGATAGACTGTCGATTCTCCATGACAACAATAGACCTATGCTAATTCTTAACTACAAATTACAATAAGGTATTTTGAGGTGTATAGGAATCCTTACATTTCTTATGTCTATTTTCAACAGCTACCCAAGCAGGCGATTCCACCCTCAGGCCGTCATTCAATTGACCACTGCTGAAAGGGGCGTAGATTAAATATTTAATCCACGCGCCTAATTAATAATCGTTCTATCACTAGTAATATCATTCTGAACCAAATAATTATTTTTACAGAAACGTGCAAGTGATGAAAGTGTACGAGCCAATATGCAACAGTATAACTTGGAACATAAATATCTTGATGTTTTAATTAACGATTTCGCAATGGTATTTTGGAGAGATTCTTTCGAATTTGATGCTATAATAACGGATCGTGAGTTAATTTTAATTACATAAAAATAATTTTTAAATTTTCATCTATTTTTTTAGCTCCGTATGGCATAAGAGAATCTACAGAAAAGGTTGGCACAGAAAAACCGAACTACACTGTAAGTGAAGAGCATTTAGCCACCCATATTCCTGCTAAAATTGAATATGGCATTCCAAGTATTTATAAGGATCTTATCATTTTTGCTTCCAAGCATTTAAAAGTGGGTGGACGTTTGGTTTGCTGGTTTCCAGTATTGAGGTTTCACAAATCTACCTACATTTGTTGAATTTTTGTTTAAATTTATTTTTTCAGAGATGATTACACTGTGAATTGTCTGCCAAAACATCCCTGCTTGAAACTCTTAGCCAATAGCGAGCAGCCACTGAGTAAAGTAACCTCAAGGCGACTTTTGACTTATGAAAAAACCAAACATCCTTCTGTAGATGAGTTGAGCCTAGAGGGTGTTACGATACAAGATTTCAGGGAAAAATATTTTTTGCTTAGGGAAGAGACTAGGAAAGAAAAGAGGCATAAAGAAGCGGCAATCAGGAAAGAAAATTGGGATAAATACATAAAAAATAAGCAAAATTGTGCAGAATAGAGATTTTCTAAGTAGAGCTGTTTTTAAATTTGATTCATCCTTTTATTGGAGATTTTTTACAATCAAATACAAGAAAGTTGATTTAGAATATGTACAGGGTGATTCATTAAGAATGTCATCCAGCCATAACTCAAAAACTATTCATCATAGCCTTGACGAAAAAAAATTATCCAATAAATGTAGCCAAGAGAGAATGAGGGGGATATATTTCAACTTTCTAAAATGACTGCAAGGGGGTGTAACCCAACTGCCAAAGTAAAAAAAAAAACTTTCCTTACGTATTTTGGATCAAAATTGGAAATTATTTTCATAAAAATCGTTTCCTTGCGTATTTTTGATTGAAAACAGCATTCAAAACGTCGCAAATACGTCCTGGAAGTGCTTTTTAGACTTTTTCTCTTCTAATACCGTAAATTATCCGAAATTATTAAGACAGAATTTTCTTCACATTTTCTGGAAACTTCACCACTTCTTCATAAGAAGTAGGCTTGGAATGCGCGTTTAGCAAAGATACAAAGCAAATTGAAGCTCATAGAAAAACACAACCTCTCCTAGCATAATATATTTGGATCAAAATTAGTGTTTATTGTCTTAAAAATCATTTCCTGGTGTATTTTAGATTAAAAATAATATTCAAAACAGCAAAACGACGCAAATATTTACGCCCTAAAAGTGTTTTTTAGGCTTTTTATCTTGTAATAACGTAAATTATCCGAAATTATTGTAACATAGAATTTTATTCACATTTTCTGGAATACTTCACCACTTTCTGATTTAAAGTGGGCTTCTTGGAATGCGTGTTTCGCAAAGTGTTCAGGTTTACTGACTTCATTATTTAACTTTCTTTAAAATTATAGTAGAGTGCTCCTTACAAGGACGTATATAAGGGGGGGGGGGGGGGTTTTGGGGGTTCAAACCCCCCCATTGAACTGAATAAATTAATTATTTTTTTTTAAGAAAAATAAACGTTTTTGGGAATGAAACCCAAAAAAAAAAATTCTCGTTCGGCGATATCCTCCGGCGGCTATACCAGTTTATACCTATACATTGTCTCTGGTCTAAAATTGAAACTCTTTCCAGAATAGACCACGAGCCGCCACTGCTGTAAACCCCCCCCCCCCATGTAAAAGCTTTAGCTGTCATTGGCTCCTTATATTTTTTTACTTTTCTAGGCGCATCGGAGTTACAAGCTGAAATTTTCACAGAATGGAGGTTTTTATGTTAATTCAAAATCCCAAGATCAGAATGGGCAAAAGGGCAGTATATTTAAACATTGAGATTATTGCATGAATGTATAGAATATTAATTTATCACTGTTCTTCTTGCCATTCTACAGATTGATGGCACGCGAAATAAAAATAATTGTTTCAATATATTTCTGACAGGGGGGTGCAAGTTCACCCCCTTGCACCCTGCTGCCGGCGCCTATGCCTAGGTGTCAAATACATATAGGGAATGCTTAGATGCGAACCATATGGTAAATACAAAAGTTGTTGATCTTTTTTGATTTTTATTATCTACAACTTTTATATTTAACTTTTTTCGATAGGACGCACAGTTTACCCATAAATCGCGAAAAACTAGTTCCAACCCTTAAAAACCCACCCCGGATAGCAGTTGTCGGTTCGATTTTTTTCCCTGTTTTACAATAGCTATCAGATTGCTATAACGAATTTTGTTGTTGTTTGAACCCTACTGGTCTATTGGTCTAAAGCTTCCGTTTTGGAATACAAAGTGTTTTTGGGACTGGGATGCTGAATCAATACAATAAAAATAAAGTAATAAAGTATTTATTTTGGTGTTTAATAAAAAATATTCTTCAATACTAAACTTTAATTTCGCCTTTTCCCAAATTTCTTGCTAGCGAATTTTCCTCCTATAGGCCTATGATCCCTATTCTGGGAATTTGTTTTATCAACCCTTCTCCCTTTAGTATTCTTATTTTTAGTAAATTTATCAGTTTTCTTTTTGTTAAATTTATCATTTCTCTTAAATTTATCACTATGATTTTTATTAAATTTGTCTCTGCCTTTGAAATCCCTCATATTTCCATCCTTTTTGAAATTGCCTTCTGGATTTCTGCCTTGACTTTGGTCCAATCGCGGTTTCTTGCTTTTGAAATGATATGAATTGGCTGGACGTTTTGTTCCTGCTGGTCTTGATGAAAACAGATCTAAGAAATAACACGTAAATAAAATGTTTTAAACACTAATTTCCTTTTTGTTACCATTATCAGGATCTTCACCAACTTCTTCCTGGTAATATTTTCTATCATCATCCACTACAAACTCAGATTCTTCATTGGCCTCTCTAGAAACTTTTTTCATTTGGATATCAGTTTCAGTCATTTTCTTCATTCCTTTTAATGATTTTTCCTTATGTAATTCTAACACCTTTTCCTTTGCCTTTCTATTGTCATCTTGGATCTTCTTACGTTTTTCTTTCAATTTTCTACAAAAATTTAAATTTATTTTAAAAAATAATATATTTTTTAATTTTGAACCTTTTTAGGTCTCGTGTCTTTTGTATCTCCAATTTTTCTTCTTCAGACTTGTGAATCAAATCATGATACAATACTTCACCATCTAAAAGACCATCCTCAATTTTCATTAGCTGTAAACTTAATCTTGGTCCTAATTCTGTTAATCGAATAGCTGATTTGCCACTCTCAATATTACCCCTGGTGATTAATTTTTGGGACAAAGTTACATGATTTGATGGGTCATCTTCGGCTTCACTTTCTGACATCACTGCGGTCCTGAAATTCATATTTGCTTGTGAGAAATGAATAGTTAAGAAACAACATTGTCCTTACTTTGTAAAAAACTCCGAAATATCTGTGCATTTAGCCAAATTTGGTACCTTTCCTTGCACCACTTTTTTAACACCTTTCGATATTCCTACTGGGGCAACTTTAATATTATAATGTCTAAAATCAATTAATTTTGTAGCAGGATCATAATTCATCAAAACACACCTTTTGATGGTATTTAAATCGGCAGTTGTTAAATTAATTGTGGGAAACATATTCTGAAACATTGAAGCCATAAGTTTCATTTGTAACCCTTCACCGCTGAAACTGTTTAAAACTATTAAAGGTGAATGTTTGAAAGCTTCTTCAATGACTGTTTGCCTTTTCAGGGATGAAACTACATCTCGGGCCAGAGAAAAGTTGTGTATTTTAAAGGTTAGTGTTGGTCCTCTGGGTAATCTTATGATTTTTAAATACATGCCCAGTTGAGTGCGGGAAAATATTGATAAATGGGTTACATGTAGGGGGCCTGCTACTGAGACAAAGTCTTTGATGGTGTTTTTCTTTCTTTCCTAAAATAATACAGAATATGGTTAAGCAATCAGTAGGCAGGCAATAATTAGAAGTTACCTTAAGTGACGAGGCAGTGAATGGTTCCATTACTTTACGAAAGTCTTTAGTGAGTTCCAAAGTGTGACCCCCTGGTAATCCTTTATGTATCACAAAGGAATGGGGTGCGTTGACCACATCCTCTGGTTCTTGGTGGACATTATTGTTTTTCCTCACTGAACGTCCCTTCCTGCGTCTTTTTCCCATGTCTTTATAAGTTTAACTTTTAAAAACTCTGCAGTGTTAGGAGTGCTTTATGATTTTTGTTTTGATTTTTTTGAAAAAAATCACTAGTGAAAAAGTGAGGTGTAAGGTAAGGTTATGTCGGTCGCTTTCCGCTTTATTTTACTACACACGTGAAAATTTTAGGCACTACGGCAACATCGCATTAAGGCCGGGACACATCTATCATGCATTCTTCCGATCCGACTCCGATAATACAATCATGGCCCTTATTCTTGGAACAGGGGAGCAACGGAACACTCGTTCTCCTGGGAGCGCTGGCTGTGACGCTGGTCCCTGTTCCAAGAATAAGGACCCTGATTGTATGATCGGAGTCGGATCGGAAGAATGCATGATAGGATAGATGTGTCCCGGGCTTTAGACGTGTTCGAAGGTGGGTTCGGCTTGCTCACTCCAAGTGACTCCATTCGCACTCCAGCCGTTCCGGTATTGCTTTTTCTTGGCGTATTAGGGGCATTGATTAGGGGTGACTCCATTAGCGTTCGACTATACGGAGTGGAGTAAATGGAGTTCACTCCAAAAGTTCCACCTCGGAAAGAGAATTTTTTAGAGTAAGCATGCGTTGGAGTCAATGAACTAAACAAATACTCTGGAACTGCTTTATGCTAGTGTGCCAAATTTTGATGTACGCAAGCCAGCAATACGGAGGGATTATTGTCTCACTCGCACTCATTGCGATTAATGTAAAAAAAAGAAGAGCTTCTTCATCTTCCTAACCTCAATGATCCGAACACTTCGAACAGCTGTTCTCAATAGCCGCCATAGTGTAGAGAGAGATGCAAATCCCTCTTGTTTGTTGTCCTTTCTGGCACAAGCCCTTACATAGAAACAATAGCCGCTTTCCAGTTGTGTGCTTCAAGCACGGTGCAGCACAGTGCTCTGTGTTTAAAACGCAAAAGTTAACAGCTCTCGAAATGCAGTACGGCTGGAACACAAACACGCGCTTGAAGCATTTACGCGCGCAAAAGCTCGATTGCGTGCCCAAAAGTGTCAGGAAAGCGTCTATTAAAGATTAAAGGTCTCCTCGGATCAAGGATGATACACACTACTACTACAGGATAGCCAAATCACCAGTTGTGACGTAGACAGCATGCTTATGCTATGACGTCGAAAATGGTGACGCACTAATACGTATTCCTTTCAAGAGCTTGAAACACTAGAGTTACTCGCTCCGGTGTTACTGGTGTTAGTCGACCCCTTCGACCGTCGACCCTGATTTGTAAGGAACAGATGCGCTGGCTTTCATGCATTTAAATGGTTTGAGTCGGGCTTCAACAGTCAGGTGCAACAAACACTTTTCGAAAAGAATGAGCGCGTAACGCCCCGGAACTGTTTCGGAGCTCCTCCGTGTGAAAGAAATACTAATATGGCGGCGATTACCAAAAACTACAGTGGCTCAAAAACGAGGCCCAAAAAAGTGTGTATTATCCTTGCCCTCGGAAATCTTCTTTTTTTAGCGCGAGATAGAGAGAGTAGTTGAATTTTCTTTATCCTTTTTTACCTCGAATGAGAAGAAAAGGATAAACGTACACTTTTCTTGCTATTAGACAAAGATAACAGACAACTAAAAAAAAGAAGAATTTAGGTTATGATGCGAATTGAGCATATTTTTGTTTGTGTCTGTGTTTTTTACCTCTAAATTATTATTAATTTTAAAAAAATCTTAATTATTATTAAATAAGCAATTAAAATTTGTATTTTGCAATGTTAAAGTCTTGCGGGCCTCCCGAAGACGTCTTGGTAAGTTTTTTTTTTGCCTGCATTTTTTTCTTTTACTAAAATTCAAATCTCTAGGATTTACAATTCAAACTCCAATGCCGGCTCAAAATATTCGAAAACAAGGAGGTTTCTCAATTTACCAACGCATACAGCTTAGTAACTTGTGCGAGCCGTTATGGACTTCTATTTGTTGGAACAAACTCGCATAACTTCCAAGGTATATTTATTTTTTGTATAATTTGAGGAGGAAGCCACCTTAGAATTTTGATTTATAAACTGATCGAATTTTTTACATTTATTAATATTTTTTATATGCGTGCCTGCGTGCCGTGAAGTGAGTTCGCAACATTTTTACACTTGACTAGTTCATTATCGGTGATGATCATTTTAAAATGCAAAATTGAAATGTACAGGGTCTGTTCCAGTGAAGTAGTAAGAAGCTTGGAATAGCCCTTTGCCAATCTACTTAATACATATATTTGCGGGCAGCATTAAAGAACAGGAGAGGTCCCTGAGATTTTTCTGCCCTTACTAGCACTCAGGGTTAGAGTGAGAGATATGGGCAATTCAATAGATTTTTTGCCCTTACTAACGCTATCTCACTGTAACACAAAGCTTATTCCAATTGGTCTTTCTCCATGTATGACTTCCCCACTACAGGGAACAAGGGTTATGTGAAGAGATATCTGGTCTTCAAAAAAAAAAAAACAATCAAAGATTGCTATGGTTTTTTAAATGCATGTCTTAGCATTATTTTTCTTTAATTTTCTCATGAAATTTATTGTCAAAATCAGTGGTGACGCTAGGGTTCTAGTTCTATATTAGGGGGGGCCAGACTGGGCCAGAAAAATTTAGAGGGGGCACTTGTTTTTATTTTATTGCTTTTCTTCTTTGAAATAAAAAATGGGAAGTAGGACCCTGTCGACAATAATATGTCTGGGGGAATCCCAGGAAAGCAAAAGCAGCATCACGGTTGCCTGTGCCCAAGAATACGTAACCTAATAGGACTGCTTATTAAGCTGAAAATGTTTGCCATTTCAGCTGCAAACGTCAACACTTGGTGTAAAATGCATTAGCCTAGTTTAAAACATTATAGGTCAATAGAACGAATTCCTAAACGTTATAATCTTATCAAAATCACCTTTATTTCATTTAAAATCAACGAAAAAACAACCACAACCTCAATCGCATGCATCCCATTGAGGCCTGTGGGTGACGTCATCACTATAAGCTGCTAATTAGTACTGACGTCACTCGCACGCCTTGCTGACTCGAGAATTGGCGAAGGTAACGTACGCCACATGAGGATGAGCAATTCTGTCAGGTAACGATTCTTGGCCTGTGCTACCACCGAATTCCGAATTAACCAGCAGAGACTGCTGATGTTGCATTGCATTGTTGCCGACATGAGAGCAAGTTTTCAGGGGGGGCCGGCTAAACTTCAGTGGGGGCCCCAGCTCCCTCTGGCGTCGCCACTGGTCAAAATGTCATATCAAAAATCCTGACCAATAATGCGACTTACGTTTTCGTAATCAAACCAATCTTTGATTATTTTTTTTTTTTAAAGACTCATTATCAAAAAATTGTAAAGTGTGTTTTTTTTTTGTAAGATAATTCCCCAAGTCAAAAATTTAGTAACTATGTTGGCAACACAAGCCTTTTCTACATAAACAATTTGAAAGCATTGACAATTTTTGAGACAATTTTACATTGTATTGCCAACATAATGTCATTTTGACTTTTATCTTTTAAAAAAAACAGACTTTAAATACAAAAGTTTTGGGGTTTTACCTGAAATTTTCGAATTTGATGTCAAAAATGTTTTTTTTCTACTGACGTTTCATAATAGCAACTTTTCGATTGTCATTTCAGTTTTGAAACGACATTCTTTTAGGCACTGAGTGCGTGAAAGTTACTTTTAGGCACTCAGTGCGTAAAAGTGACTTTTGAATGCGTAAAAGTGACTTATGAGTGCGTAAAAGTAATTTTTAAGCACTAGTGCCTAAAAGTGTCATTCATTATTCAGAAATAAAAAACACACTAAACACATATTTGAATTTTGTTTTGTATTTATTATGAATATTGAAAATGGAATTACTGAATTGAACGTTTGGGTTACTCAAAACAGAAGTTTGTGTTATTACCTACTTTCTAGGATTTTAATTATTGATGTCGAATTTTGAAAAGAAAATCGCATGAAAAGTGTCAGGTGTCAAGTAAAAGCAGGTAACAAAGATTTTGGGTGTAATCGACTTATTCACATGAAATAAAATTGTGTTTTTTTATTATAAAATGCCAGTAGAAAAAATCTTGTATACAATACGTTACGAAACGATGTCTTTTAGTCACTCGACGTGTTGTCCAACTCGGCTTTGCCTCGTTGGACAATTTTCACGTCGCGTGCCTAAAAGACGCTCATTTCGTAACTTATTGTATAAATAGCTATATCTTTTACAAAATGTCAAATTTTGACAAATGGTCAGTTTTTTCCGAAGTTTTTTCTTATACAGTGTGGTTATTTAAGGTTTTTTTTTTAGTAATAGCACAACCCAAATACAAACAAGGCCAGAAGCTGGTGCATGTCTGATAATCATATTAGGTGTACTTAGAATGGTTGTAAGTCAAACACGAGGGGTAACTCACCCTTAAAATTGTGTACAATAAATTAGCACTTTCTTCAAAAAATACCAATAATTACCAAAAAACATTACCAAAAATACTAATAAATACCAAAAAAAGTCCAATAATTACCAGAAAAATACCAGTAGTTGCCAAATAATACTAATAATTACCAGAAAAATACCAATAATTATCGAATGTAATACCACAAGAGGTTTCAGGATTACCGGATAATACTTTTACCTGTCACGAAACGCGTTACGCAGCAACACCACGACTCCGAAGGAGGAGTGGTGTTAACGCGTTGAGTGTCAGGTAAAAGTATTAGGTAATCCTGAAATATCGAGTGGTATTCAAAAGGTTAAACAACGAACTAAACTTCAATACTTCATTAATTTTTATTATTATTAATGCCAAATGAACAATAATATTGCCACCAAGCGCGATAATCCCAAAAGGCTTATCACTTTTTAAGCCTCTCGTGTCTTATGGGAAAAATGTACAGTGAGTTGTATAACCAAAACAATACCAATAATTACCAAATCAATTACCAAGAAATACCAATAATTACCAAAAAGCTAAGGATCCATGAATCTAAGAAACTTCTGCTGTTGCATGCTCCTTGGCATTCTCTTAAGCCCATTGTGACAATGTGCAGTTAACTTTAAGGTTAAGGTTACTTATACCCTAAGGTTACCATAGGAGTACCATTTCACCAAACTTTTGTGACATCTGGTTAAGTTCACCGGAGGTTAAACTTTTTTTCTCCGTTTACAGCAGTGGCCTGTGAAATTAATAAAAAAAGAATGACATACTATGCCAACTTCCAACTTGTCATTATCATAGAATGTCATTATCTGTATGTCATTATATATTCCTTTCGATTTGAATAAATCAATCAATCAATCAATCAAAATATACTTTATTGTCGGAAAATAAATTTCATTGACAAAGCATGATCTTAAATAATGTGCAAGTAATTAAAAATTATCGGGTTATAAAAAAAAAGAGGTACAATCAATAAAATAAAAAATAAACATAAACATAAATGTCAAAGCATAATCCTAAGCAACGCATGTACAATTTTTACTATATCAAACTATAGTCATATAGAAGGTACAGCCAATATAGAAAAAACTTAAACGTTGCGGTCAGAACAAAACAAAACAATGAAACAAACAAAATTAAAATTTTTCATTTAAAAATTCATTAATATGATAGTAGGCTTTTCCATGTAAAAATGTTTTGAGCTCTAGTCTAAACTTTTTAAAACCACCTATCTGCCTTAAGTTAACAGGCAGATGATTAAAAATTTGCCTACTTTTATAAATTAGTGAATTTTGCGTCAATGCAGTCTTGGGTATAGGAAGCTGAATTTTAAGAAGTTGCCTAGTTGGATAAGTTCTTGGATATTCTAACTCATCATAATGTTTTTTATGCATAAGGCAAGTAGTTTCCATGATAAATATACAGCATACTGTAAGTATTTTATGTTTTAAAAATAGTGGCTTGCAATGCTCCCAATATCCAACCCTACACAAATAGCGCACTGCTCTCTTTTGAATGACAAAAACAGAATCAAACAATTTATTAGAACAGTTACCCCAAAATGCAATGCCATACCTGATATGAGATTCAACCAACCTGATACCTGATATGAGATTCAACCAACGAGAAATAAACCAACTTAGCAGTATTCAAACCAAGTTCATTTGACGCTATTCTTACAGCATAGCAACCACTTGCCAATCGTTTGTTTAGATTTGTAACGTGCTCATTAAACTTAAGTTGAGTATCAACATGAACACCAAGAAATTTACAGCTAGTTTTATTTTCAATTGTGTGTGTGTCTAATAATAAATCATCAAAAAAAAATTAAATGTCAATATGTTGGTTTTCTTAGAGTTAAAACAAAGCAAGTTAGAGTCACGCCAGCTCTTTACAAGATTTAGGTCTTCAGAAATAATCTTTTTCAACTCTTCAATATTTTTTCCGTTCCAGGACAGAGTAATGTCATCAGCGAATGATGTTATTTTAGCTCTAATGGGGAGGTGATTAATATCATTTAAATAAAGTAAAAACAATATTGGTCCCAACACAGATCCTTGTGGAACACCATTGGTCACAGCCAAGTTTGATGACTGAGTATCACCAATCTTAACAAATTGTTCTCTTCCCGAGAAATAAGATTCAAACCATGAATATGAGATTCCTCCGAAGCCATAAATTTCTAGTTTTTTAAGCATTATTTTATGATTTACGCAATCAAAGGCTTTAGAGAAACCACAAAACACAACGGCGACAAGCTCAGTTTCATTAAGACTGACGAATACCTGTTCCAAAAGATGAGGATGCAATTATTATGTTTGAATTATTAGTGGACTGTATTGCGATTATTGCGTCCTTATTACACGAAAAAATGAGAAATTAAGTGAGGTCATGCAAAAAGGTTTTGTCGCTTACCCAATTTGGCTTTGTGGTCTCGTAACTTTAGGGGCGCCCCTGGAAGGCTTTAACTCACGATCAATTGTTCAAACGGCGAAAATATGTACGTGAATTTCATGCGCGATTATCTTGATACTCATCACATGAGTCTCT